TCCAAAAGCTCAGACTAATATAAGTTTCATCCCAGTGGTCGCGTCTTTGTCTTCTTTGCAGTTTTAAATTCAATTCAAGGCACTAGTCACCCTTCAGGCCCAAGTATGGAAAAGAGTACGTCCAGTCAGTTCTTTAATGATGTGCAGTTTGGCGTCCTCTTTAGGCAGCCTTATTAACGCGGGCAGTGAGCCAAGATAACTCAGATTTTGGTTGAGTACACTAACAGCGCAGCACGTACGGGGGCGAAAAAATAGTTTACTCTCAAAAACCAGCAACGTGAGGAAAAATACCATATTGCGTTCAGTGTCGGGAACTTTGGGTTGCTGCGACAGACGGTGAAGGAGGAAATTATTCATGAATTTGGAACCGTCAGCGTCCATTTCCGGCCATCTTGCTTTCGCCTAGCCTAAATGAGGAAGTTAGTGAACAGGAGGGCTCGTTGTGCCAGTGTCTCCCTGGATAAGGCTTTGACGAGTTCCCGAACATTAGAGGACAGACCAGCACTGGCGATTTAATGACTTAGCGGCACTGTAGGGTTACACAGACGTAAACATTAGGACTGTGAAGGACGTTGGCCTTTTTACAGGTGACACTAAACGCACGTCTCTGTTAAGCTGACAGGCAACAGCTTATGCTGATGCTGACAGGACCTTTGCTTTCAGTAAAGATTTTCTTTGTTTCCTTTTTATGTGAAACTCCGGCAAGCCCTGTGTCGAGCAGTACAATGATGCTTTTAGAAAGGATTCTAACCAAAATAAGCGCAGTTCGCTGCCCTTTAGCTGTTTGTCATTTGAACTGCTGGATAACACCCTCCTTAAAGCGGCTTTGACATCCGTTTTCATCGTGGCTTTGGCCTAGTTAGACCTCTCAAATGACGAGAATTGGTTCGGAAGGGCAAATGGAAAACCTGTAATTCTTTTTCATCTTGCCTCAACTGACAGCAGGTAATAAGTGTTTTGGTTATCAAAACCTAGCCCACACAGCTGAAAAAGACAGAGGACGTCAAAGTCCGTCAAAAAATGCTGTCTCCGCCTTGTTATGCCCCGAAAACAATATTTAAGACTTTTGCCGTTCAAGAGAATAGAGGAAAAACGAACCAATATCACTATTCATTATGGGGAAGTCGAAAGAAGGAGCGGTTTGCTTCCCTTTAGCTAGTCATCGTTTTCATAGCTGAAGCTTTAAGTTGCTTTGGCATCCAGTTTCACAGGGGTTCTGGTAAGGATGACTCATATGCCCTTCTAAATGGTACATGAAAAGAGGAAGTCTCTGCTCAAGTAATAGAGATGAGCCTGTGCATAATTCCCGGCAGCGTAAACCCTCCCGTGTCTTAATCGTAACATTAGACAATCATAGTTGGGAGCTTTATTGTCACTTGACCCAATTGTAAAAAACTCGCCCTCGGTGGGAGTCGAACCAACGCAGCAAGGGAGACCTTTTTGCGGCCAGCGCTCTATCATTGAGCTACGAGTCTCAACGGGAACCGCGAATTTAATCAGACTTGGGTAGATTTGCTTGCCCAGCTTACTGCTCGTATGGAATCCACCATTACGGATATAGTAAGCAGACTGCAAAGGCGGGGTTTCCTGAGTAATCATCTAGGATCCAACGGATGTGTGTGTTAGACCATCGGTTTCACTGAAGTACAGCGGATGTACTACTAGGCTAACCATACGAACAGTAAGCTCGGCAAGCAAATCGGTCCATATGTGATTAAATTCATGGCTCACGGTGAGCCTCGTAGCTCAATGGTCGAGCGTTGGCTGGGTAAAAGCCTCCCCTGCTGAGGCCGCGAGTTTTTTACAATTTAGACAAGTGAAATTATTTTAATTTGCCAAACTCCTGATAA